TAACGTTTATAACCAGTCTATTTTTATGGTGTGTGGAATAGCCTGATGATCAATATAACTAAAAATGTGAATGTATTCTTAGAAAATAGAAGGTGGCTGGTACACAATTCATTTAACCCTTTGAAATTACAACAACACTGAAAAAGTCACAGTCCTAGCACTTACAACTGTTTCCATAGTTTCCTCATGGTCACATGATCCAAATTTGGGTGGTTGGCAATCAGCCTATATTTATGACAATTGCAGGGTCCTAGAATCAAGTGACCCATCATTTGTGACCTTCCTAGCTGGCTTCCACCAAGGTCAATGAGTGAACGTAGATTTGCTTAATGACTGCATGATTTGCTTAAGATCTGCAGCAATTTGCTTAAAAGCTGTTGTGACTTACCATCTTGCTTAGCAATGGAAATTCTAGTCCTAGTTGTGGTCATAAATGAAGGACTACCTGTATAGGGATGCTTTGTGAATGGCCATAATCGTGATGTGTGAGTTCCCATAAGATGCCCATCAAATTCCCAATGAGCCCAATGGTCCAAACAGTTTGAGAACCATCTCTTCTAAAGTCTGAAAAACCAGTCTTATTAAAAACTTGAATACATTTAGCTTGAAAAGAGAAACTAGAAAGTAGTTAGGGCAACCATCTGCCATGCAGAAGAGGGAGCAGATTTGTTCTATATTCTCCAAAAGACACGGTTTGAATCCAGAGACTGATACAGCAAAGCAGACTTCCACAACCTACTACTCTCCCAACAGGTGGAGAATGAAAGTTTTAGCATTTCAGTCCTAGACTTTCTAGCTAGGAACTTCTGCAGAGTGTTGTATTACAAAAGGAGTTCGAAGAAACTTCCTAATCACAGTATTTTTCTTTCATCAGAAGTATTTAAAACATAGCTTGGCTTCACTTCACCAAGTGATCTTCAAGTTATCCTCTAAGTTAAAATCAAAATCCATTAAAAATTTTATGGATTGGATGAGCACAGACATTATATTTTAGCACATTTATCTGCTGAAGAAGAGATACCATTATAAAAAAAATCCAAAAGAGCTTTCGTTTTCAAATTCTATGCCTGGAAAAGAAAAAAATAATACAGATTCTGCAAATCCACAGTGCAACTTGGCACAGTGATTACTGGCTGACTCCACACAATATTATCATGACATCTCTCTCAGTCCCACTCCTGATCGCAAGAGCAGTTTCCCTAAAATAGATATGTTTTACGATGAAGAATGTAGAATTAATGAACAATCCACTGAGAATTGCTCAGACCCCTCTGGAATTTAGTGGCATAGAAAGATCATACATACAATATAAACGTCTTGTGCTCCTGCCGTATTGCAACATTCCCTTATTCGGGACCTTCCAGATGTTTGGACCTCCAAATTCTAACATCCCTGATCTGAATTCCAATTGGGGAAGGCTACCTTATTCAAAGGAAGTACAGCTGGGCCAGCTGCAACTGCAACAAGATACAGTGACATCGAAACAACCACAAATGCATAAGATCCTTGCAGAAATGATCTGTGCATATTTGCATAACGATGTCTAACACAAATACTAACTTGCTTCATTTATGCCATGACATTATGGTGCACGTGTTGTTATTTTTCTCTGTTAACCCTTTCAGATGCCTGCAACTGATGCTTGTGCAGAATTTTTCCATCAGTTCTGCTAGGTATTAATAAGTAATGTTGATAGTGAGTACCCTTTGGGTTTCTTTGGCTCAAAAACTGAAATGCCTTAGGTAAGGCCCTAGAAGAAAGGATCTCACTGAATGGCTTTTAGAGTGTGAAAGAGAAAAGAGCTGGGTGCCACAATCTTTGTGCTATCAGCAAAAATCCTTTTAGTACATTTAGACAAGTTGTGATCAGCACAGAGGGTCTACGTTGCATTACAAGTGTAAGTACACAAAATCAGCACACCTGTCACAGGGAAAAGCCTCCATCTGGAATAAGAGAAAATGTCATCATTCCAGATGAGCTAGCAAAAATGTACTGCCAGCTCAGCAGGAGCACAACCATTGTTGCATTTTTTTAAACACAGCTATTCAACCCCTTTGAAGAGCCCTGACTAAACCCAAAAGGGCTGCATACACACAATACACTCAAGCTGATGGCTGAATTCACCCATTTTTTTTGGTAAGATGCATTGTACCATGAACTCATCCAGAGTTGAATTCACAAAAGTCTCCAAGCCAGTGTTTCTCAATCTTGGCAACATGAAGTCCACCCATCTTCAAGTTGTCAAGGTTGAGAAAGATTGCTCTAAGTCTAAGCTATACAATATTAACCATATTTAATATGAATTAAAGAACACATGCTGTGTGAATGGGTTTGTTATCAGAACCGAGCCAGTTTCATCATGCCAATTTTAATTTTCATGGCTTCCTGGGAAAGGTGTTAGTCAAGATGTCTGATCTAGCCTCCTGTCTCCTATTCCTTACAATAATAGGTTATTCACTCTGAATCCTTATTAATCAAGGTTCAGAAAAAAGGTCCCCTATTCCCAAATATGAGTGAAATCAGAATTGTGGCTCTCTCTCCCTCCCCCCTCCCCCCTCTCCCTCCCCCCTATCTATCTATCTATCTATCTATCTATCTATCTATCTATCTATCTATCTATCTATCTGACTATGAACAGCAAAGGGAAGAATCGTGAACCCTATTTTAGAAAGTCACTTCTAACTAATATAAGCGACTCATCATCCAGCAACTAAAATTATCAACACTGAACAGTATCATGCAAAGCTCCATTTGTAACATACACATACGCGCACACACTATCCCAAGTGCTTTTGTCAGCACTAGTCACCAAATTAGCTCTTATGAAATGAAACCACAGCTGGGAAAATATAAACATAACCTGAAAGCCACAGGGATAATGTTACCAAATCCTTTATAGTACAAAAGAATTCTGCATTGTTAAAAATGCAAACAATGGGGAGAAGTTAAAAATACATTATGGAATGCTATGGCAAACCAATCCTTCATGTTTTGCTACCTTTCTAGCCTCCCTCATTATCATAGGTTACAGCATACTTGTTAGTCACAGCCAACAGTCCTGCTCTTTGTGTGATCGTGCCACGTTCTAGCGTAGATTTAAGCAGAGAAGCAATCCCAAACACAATGAAACTTGATTGGTGCATTTTTCAATTAATTATGGCTGTCACGGTAACTAAAACCAGGAAAATAAGCAAATATAAAGTAGCAGCCTTCCATTCTAATAGGTAGACTGCAACATCCATCATTCCCACTGAGCTCTGCCGATGTCTGAAATGAGTGAGGACAATGGGCCTTGAAGGTCACCACATCTGGATCAGAAGATACCATGCTGTGAAAAGCTACGTAAGTTAAATGAATAGACCTGACCTGGATTCAGTTCCAAATTCAGCCACATACTGTAGGTTCACTGGGTGGCCTTGTCTCTTACCTGTCAGTCTAATCTAGCGTACGCAACTACTGTGAGGCCAATGTGTAGGAATTTCTATTTATTGCAGCATTACCTTCCATGGAAAAAGAACAGGCTAGAAATGTAACAGAAAAGTAGTCACTTCTAAGCTGTTTTTCTTTTCTTTTGTTCTGTCCCTCTCCCTTGCTTTCTCAGTGCTTCTATTTGATCCATTCTTTGTGTTACCTTGGGCTGGACTGTTTTGGACAGAATGAACCCCAGGTTGATCCATCTGGCCCGGCTCTACCGCAGCATCTTTGCTGCCCACCAATTTAAGTTCAAAATCCAATTGATATGTATCTGGGTTGGATTTATTCTGATGTAAAACCAGATGACAGCTATGGCAAATACAGCCTTATGTGCGTGTTGCAGGGAAGTATAAAGACTTCTTAGAATTGTGCTTGATTCCTGATGTCTGATATGGACATATCTATACAGTGTTTTTGACAGCAGTAGGCAAGTGCCTTGTCATTGCCTTCTTCTAGATGTGTTATTGATGTATTCAATCTAGCCTTCAGCCTGGTATTTATATTAGGCACCCATTCAAGTGTTAACCAGATCTGCAACATGGAAAAGTCACATTTAAGGATCACAAAATCCTGACATGTACCATGTTCTCCTCAAATTTTCTGTGTTGGTTGCTTATTTGACCCTGCAGAAACACAGGTCAATGTCAAGCATCCAGCAAGCTGTAATATATAGTTACAGTTTACAAGGGTGGCTCATAGTGTTGCAGTCAGCTAGCATATTAGCAGAAATATCCATCAATCTTGGCTCAGTCCTCCTTGTCTTTTATTTTCACTATTCCACTCCTCCTTTTTCCATGCATAGCTATGTTTGCACAGCACCATAGCCAACCACATTTTAATGTGATAGGTAAACATCCCACATGGGATTAGTTTATGGTTCAATGCAGCATACAGCCTAAAAAATTGGGGTCACTAAGAAAACCATGCTTAACACGTATCATAGGAAGGTAGCCATAATGTTTTTTTCAAATCTAAGCCTTTTGGCAAAAACATCATATTTAATTAAGTGTGCGGTGTATAGCATGGAATAAGTACTTGATGAATATTTATTACCAACTAATAAATAATCACAGGAATTTGCTTAGGAAGTTGCCAGGACTCAACACTGACCTGAAGGAACAAAAAAATTGTATAAACTAATTATAAAGCTGATGGGCAACTTTACCAGTAGGTAAAATATCTACATTCTGAGACTATAGGAATTTAATTTAACTAAAATATATTTATTTTCATCTCTTATTGCACTCCATCCCAACTAAACTTCCCTTTCCTATTTATCATACATCTTCCTATCCTTTGCAATGGTTATCACAGTGTGTGTATTCAATAAAACCCACAACAAAAAAGTCCTAAACACAGATTTATCCAAGATAGAGAATCAATATCACACAGGCTCTGAAAAAGAATGCAGGCAACAGAGGGGTGGGAGAGAAGAAGGGTGGGGAAAAGATAAGCTAATTTCAAGAACTTATAAAAAAAGGGGTAAAGATAGCAAAATAATGTTTTCTTTAAAAAATGCAACTGACCTGACAGTTCTTGAATTTTCCCCATCAGACCTGCAAAAAAAGGAGACAAAGAAAGTCAGAGTAAAGCGAAGGGTCAGATTCAGTGAATGATGGTAGTGGCTTGGACAAACAATGTTTTAGCATTAGGGGGGGATCTTGGCTAGGTTTGTAAATGACAATTAAGATATGAATAAAAGCAAAGAAAACAAAAACAGGTGTACTGGTACTGGCTTGGTTTTAAGTTGAACCAGCTGTTTAATAATATTTTGTTGGGAACAGCTGAGAGCTATTTTGTTGGGAACAGCTGATAAAATATTTTTGTCTTGTAGCACATCAGAAATGATTCAAAAGAGAAGACTCATATTCCCCCATCCCGAAACAAACATCTCTTTTGTCAGGGGGGAAGTTGCACTTCCTGCTTTGCTCACAAATTGCAATGTAATTCCCTTGGTGACCTGGAAACACTAAAAAAGCAAAATAAAAGCAAAACATTCTCGGCTGAAAAATCTTTTGAAGGAAACATCATACCTTTCCCTACCAAAAATAAAAGACATAAGGAATAACTTTTTTTTTTTGAGGTAACTCAGAAAGCTCAAAATGCCCAAAGAGCTGCTGATACAGTTCTTCAGAGGAATTATTGAGTCTAATCATCTGCACCTCTATAACTGTCTGGTTTGGACAGACACAGATTTCAGAGGGTAATTAGGACTGCAGAAAAAACAACTGCTACCAACCTGCCTTCAAACAAGTACCTGTATACTGCATGAGTCAAAAAGAGGGCTGTGAAAATATTCACAGACTCCTCACATCCCGGACATAAACTGTTTCAACTCCTTCCCTCAAAACAAGCACTGCACACCAGAACAACTAGACACAAGGACAGTTTTTCCCCACCATCACTCTGCTAAACAAATAATTCCCTCAACTATTTACGAAGTCTGCGCTACTGTTACTATTAATCTTCCCGTCACTCCTTATCACCCATCCCAGGGGTGGGATTCTACCAGTTCACACCTATTCGCTAGAACCGGTTGTTAACATTCTAAGCAGTTCGGAGAACCGGTTGTTAGAAGAAATTACTGGCCTAATCCTGTAAGGAAGGCAGGAAGGAAACATTCTGGTGTTGCTTATAGAAACTGCCTCTCCGTTAACCCTTATTACATTCTTGGCAGGACTAGACTTCCTGTCTCAGGAACTTCTCTGGAGTTTTTTCCTCCTCCTTTGCTGGTACTTTGCTTGTGTGGAGTGACCATTTAAAGTTACAATGGCACTGAAAAAAGTGACTTATGACCATTTTTCACACTTACGACTGTTGCAGCATCCCCACAGTCACGAGAGACCATGTGAGGAGATGCGTGCCTCGATGTGAGTAGTGTTGAGTTGGCCACGCCCACCCAGTCGCATGACCACCAAGCTATGTCCACCCAATCACATGACCACCAAGACACACCCATCAACTAAGCCACGCCCATAGAACCGGTTGTTAAAAAATTTGAATCCCACCCCTAACCCATCCCCTCCCACTTGTGACTGTATGACTGTAACTTTGTCTCTTGTATCCTTATGATTTATATGGTCTGTTTCCTAGTATGATTTGATTGCTTATTGTACCCTATGACTATTATTGTTGTACCTTATGATTCTAGACTCTTGACGAACGTATCTTTTCTTTTATGTATACCGAGAGCAGTTGCACCAAGGCAAATTTCTTGTGTGTCCAATCACACTTGGCCAATAAAAAAAAGAATTCTAATTCAAAATGTTGTTTCAAAAATAAATGTTTAGCAGACCCTTATTTTATGTCGATGGAGATTCTCAGTCATGGTTGTCCCAAAAGTGCTTTTTCCAAAAGGCAACAGGACTTTGTATTTTCCTTGAAAACCTTTCACTTCTCATCCAAGAAGCTTCTTTAGTTCTGTTTTCGCTTCTTGGATGAGAAGCGAAATGTCTTCAAGGAAAAAACAAAATCCAGTTGCCTTTTGAAAAAGCACACTCTTATTTTATGTGATTGGGGATAGACAGCCAGTGTTCTTGTGACAAAAGTTGATTTTTTCAGGAGGCAGAAGGCTCTAGTGGGTGAAGTGATTGAAACAACTGTAAACAAGACTACTGAAATTTCCTTGCTTTTCCTGATGTTGGGTATTTATTTATTTATTTATTTATATATTTATTGTTTTAGTTATGTATTTATTTTAACCCTATTTTGATACTTAACACTAGCTTTTATCAGAATCCTATCTCAAAAGGATAGAAAACCAAGCCAACAATCAGAAACTGGAGTTGAAAGGAGGCTGAAGATTGCAAAAATTGGGACTCTTGGACATGTGCAACCCATCTTTGTGGTTCTATGTATGTAAACACTGGACTGCAAAACCAGCTATTTTGTAAGCACATATGCTCCAGTTATGAATAAAAAATGCTTAATCCCAATAAAATTCAATTGCCAAGAATTTCAAGGCCCTCATCTCACAGCCTTCTGTCAGGCATCACTCAATTGGGACTAGCTAGCTTGATTACTTCTTGTTCTTAAACCAATTTCTTGTAACTGCCTATATCGGATGTGTTTTAATGAGGGAAGCGAGAGAAATTATTGCCACGTGGATTTTTGCTATGGATCTAGGAGGTGGGAAAATCAGCACCCAGAAAAATAAAATAAAATGACACCCTTGCACATGATTCCAGTAAATAGCAAGTCTGAAATTAAAAGCTGGAAAAGGCTTCCCAGAAATCAGCCAATTCTGCCCCCCCCACACAACATTTTTGAATAAAACTTTTTTAATACTAACATGTTTCACCTATTAAACAAAAAGAAGCCTCCTATTTTTAAAGTTTGAGTTTTAATAAATTTAAAATAAGCCATGTAAGTGCACCATACATCCCTGATATCTTTGCATTAAAAACACTGAAAGAAGGGAATAGGCTTGCTTATTATTCCTGCTGAACAAAAGGGTTACATACATACTTTTTCCTGGCATTCAAAGAAAGCCTAGCAGAGTAACTCTCACTTCGAAAAGAAAGAATATGGATAAGAACTGGAAGGCCTAATGTGTACATTATCATTGGTGTGGTGGCTGATGAAGAGCCTCTGATCTCCACAACACACAAAGGTCTAGAGAACCTCCAAATTACATTTTTTTAAAAATATATTTCGCTTGCCAATCTCTCACTTTTGTACAAACTTGGCTTTGGACAATAGTGTGGGAAGTTATGATGAGATGAATAAGGTAACATTACACAATCGTGACTAAGAACAGAACATAAAGAAGGTGCATGAAATATCTAAAATGCATTAGTATAGGATGTGAGGGCGATCTGGCTGTGACATCTGTCACCCCATTGATTGCCAGGGTTGATTCGGCTGATCTGGCTGGCTAGGCGGGTGTCCCCTTCTTCCCTCACCGCTCCATGTGCGTCCCTCCCGAAGCTGCACGCTTGGTGGAAGAGGACGACCATCCCAGATAGAAAGAGTGTACCGATCTTCGGTCAAGGGTATACGATAGCTGCGCTCCCCTGCTAGAACTTCTAAACAAGCTCAAAATGCATTAGTATAGGGGTGTCAAACCCACGTCGTCACAATAGTATCACATGACGTATTGGGACTTTCCCCCCCTTCGCTAAACCAGGCGTGGGTGTGGCCAGCATTTGATGCATCTGGCCTGTAGGCCAGGAGTTTGACAGACCTAGTAAATAAATTTTACTAATGCATTTCTGCAGCGGCAGTCACTGCCTTCAAAATGGCGGGTGCAACTGGGTGAATAATGCCCTTGCCTTTTAATGTGTATACAATGCATGCAACTTACAACTGAAAAGGGGGAAGGACTTTGATTGGCCAGTCATGCCCACCATTTTGAAGCCAGTGACTATCACTGAAGATGTCTCTTCTCCTTCCCTCCCCACAGACATTTGCAATAGCACAAATCTAATATTATGTCCTGTAGAAGGCCATTACTATGATACATAATCAGCAGCCTAAAAGAAGTTTCAGAAACACAGCAAACTAATTTGGGACACCTCCCCCTTTTTTCCCTCTAAGCGGGAAGGAAACTAGGACTGAATAAGAGGTTTTTTTCTATTTCATTGTGCTTGGAGACTGTATTCTTCCTTCTCCACTAAATTAGAATTACTAAATTTGGGTTGCTCCAAATCTAAAAGAACATCTAGATGGCAGCAAAGAGATGCAAATGAAACAATCTTTGCTGCTACCTAGTGGGCATTTCTGGTAACCGTATCTTAACCTAAATTCATCCAAACCAACACCAGTCATTTTTGCTCAAAATCAGCGAAGTTACTAGCTTTTCAGACTCTGCACACAAATAAAAACAACAGCTCACAGGAGCAAGCCTAGCTGTAGGTCAAGTTATTGAGATTTAATAGCTGGTCAGCTGTTGTAAGGTTGATGCAATGAGGATGAATCAGCATGATTATTGCCACTTTAAGACTGGGGATGGGTCCCACAGGGTTTTATCACTTTAAGAAGCTGTCTCTATATATGAGGCCATGAGAGGGTGTACCTCTCTCTCCTTGTGTTCTGTCTCCATTAGGGTTCTCCGTGCAGAGTAAAGATGATTGATTGATTGCCAGGTATTTGTCTACCACGTCTATGTATGTATATAGCAGTCTTGTATATAAACCATTGTTAAAAGACAAAGCCTCTGTGTGTGCTGTGTTTTGATCCTGGATTGTCTCACAATAGTAGTCATGCTGCAAACACTCTTGACACTGTGAGATAAGAACAACATATGGGGACTCCCCCAGAAATTATCTTAGGGGCTGTTTCTATGCAAATGGAAACTTTGAAAACAATGAATCTTCTTGAACAAACTATGCTTATATAATCTTTATGCGCTTCATTTGATATCTCGTTATTTGTAAGCTCATCACCTACCTAAGTAATTGCTGGGGGATGGAGGAGGGAAAATAAGCCTTGCATTATAATTCTACCAGCATTAAGTCAAGCCAAGAGAACAGAGCATGCAACTGGGGCAATGCTTTGCTATCAAGCCTTACTGATGGATCAACTACACATAAGGAAAACAAAGCAAACTACACAA